AAATATGCCTCTTATAATACTTCCATCTCCCAAACAGAAAGGAAAGTTTCAGTGAAAGAATAAAGAGCTAAAAATTAAAAATTGGGGTTACTAGGCTGTTATCATAGCTCATAGATGAGAACAAATAACTTTACTCACTGATGTTAGCAGGGACTGATTGTGTTAATCTTACAATTATCTTGGATAGGAGCCAGTTGCATCTGTTACACAAAAATTACTTTTTCCAAAAAAGGCCAAAAACTTTAATTTTTGCACACTGGAAATTTCACTCTCCTGTGCATATGTCATTATTCTTAGTATAAATATAACTTTAATTGAGTTTCTTTTTCTCAGGAGGATTTCACCTCTGAGACATTTCCCTGGATTTTGTCGTCTTTGGAGAATATTTTCCTGTTCCAACTCCTTGGATGTCAAAGACCTATAAGCAATGAATTGAGGCAGTAAGGCCTTGCTGAGAAGAGACTACGCTGGATATTGAAAGGAGTCTTCTTCCTTGCTTACCCAGTGTCATTAAATATTTGAACTAAAATGCACCTTCAAATTATCAGCACTAATTCTTTCTTTGAAAAGGAGAAAGACTTTTACATAGTCAGTCACACAGTGATTTAGTGAGACAGGTGGGACATAAAGCAAAATTTAGAGATTGTCAGAGGAGCTTTATTTTTTCTTCAAGTCTAATAGTTTCCATTTGATTTTTGAATGCTGATAAATCACACTTCCAAAAGGATCAGCAAGGTACTGAGTGGATAACATTTTCCATGAAGCTACTTGTGGAATTTTATCTCTTCTTAAAAGAGAGAAAATTTAAATTAGATAGGAGCAACAATTCTCTTACTCATTATAGCACTAAGGTAAGGTCACCATTTCCCAAAAAAACATTTCCTGAAAGTAGTCACTTCAAAATGGAGTGTGTATGTGTGTGTGTGTGTGTGTGTGTGTGTGTGTGTGTGTGTGTGTTTGTGTGGTACTGGAGATTGAACTCAGGACCTTGTGCTTGCCGAGCAAGAGCTTATTCTACTGAGCTATCTCCCCAGTCCTAAAATGGAATTTCTAAGGGAGAGTTTCAAATTGATAACCCTTAAAAACAGGTTAAATAAGTGGATACAAACCCAGTGCAGTGACATTGGATGAAATAAGTGTTCAGTTTGCTATGACATGTCAAGCAAGAAATGCTATCTTTTGCATGCATCTTTATTTCACTGTTGTCTCCCCAAATCCTCACAAAATATATCCCCAAATTTTTCCATAGAAATACAACTGCACAGTGAAGTACTCATTTGAATCACAGAACTCCAGGATGAAGTTGAAAGCCTCCTTAACTTGAAGCATAGAGGCTGCTGAGCTTACTTTCTGATTTTGAACCCCAACTCTAAGCTGTGCATTTTTCTCCAGCTATTGTTTGTTCTATGATAAATGGCAACATAGCGCACCCAAAAGGCCTTAAAATTAATTTCCTAACAATTAACAAAACCGTGATGTCAGCAGCCCACAGCATTTTAGCACTCTGAGGTACAGTTCCTGCTCCTGTTTGTTTGAGACACCACTATCACATCTCACAGCACCAAAATAACACGGACCTGTTCAGAGAGTTTCCAATTACTCTTAAGATCACATTGTATTATTCTTTGTGTTTATGAGCCTTGCAAATGTCCTTGCCTAAAACTCAATATTGTCAAGAAAAATATATTTCTGCACCTCACTACTGGCAATCAATAAACTATTATCAGTTTATGATCAGCTTTTCTCTCCTTTCACACCAGTACTAGGAGAACTATCCATCACAGAAACATAGCCTTCATGCTTTCTGTTTTTTACTTTTCTTAGTTTCCCTTGGGTTTCCTGAAGAAAATGAACAGATACAATTATTCTACCATGACTGAGTTTGTCCTCGAAGGACTAACAGCCCAACCAGAGCTCCAGCTGCCCCTGTTCTTCGTGTTTCTAATAATCTACGGAGTCACGGGAGTAGGAAATCTAGGTATGATTCTCCTCATCTCTTTCAGTTCTAGTCTCCACTCTCCCATGTATTTTTTTCTTAGTAATTTGTCACTGTTAGATCTCTTTTATTCCTCAGTTGTTACCCCCAAACTGCTGAGAAGCTTCATATGGGAGCAAAACATCATCTCCTATCCTGGATGCATGGCACAGCTGTTTTTCTTTTGTGTTTTTGCTATTGCTGAAAGCTACATGCTGACTGCTATGGCCTACGATAGATATGTAGCAATCTGTAAACCACTGCTCTACCATGTCACCATGTCCCAAAGGGTATGCAGTGCACTAGTGGCTGGGGTCTACATCATAGCAACTTTTGGAGCTGTGGCACACACTACCTCTATGGTCAGACTTTCATTCTGTAAAGACAATGTCATCCATCATTATTTTTGTGACATCCTTCCTCTCCTAGAGCTGTCCTGCTCCAACACCCACCTTAATAATCTCTTGGTGATAGTCATAGGTGGATTCAACATGTTAGTAACAACTATGCCCATCACCATCTCTTATGCCTTCATACTAACCACCATTCTTCGAATACGTTCTTCTGAGGGCAGGTCCAAAACATTTAGTACATGTGGATCTCATTTTATGGCTGTTGGGATCTTCTATGGATCTGTAATATTCATGTATCTTAAGCCAGCATCTAGCAACAACATGGCCCAAGGGAAAGTAGCTTCTGTGTTCTATACCACAATAATCCCTATGCTGAATCCCTTGATCTACAGTTTGAGGAATAAAGATGTAAAAAAGGTATTGAGCACAGTCTTGAGAAAGAGATACAGCTCACCCCAGAGTTAGTGTCAGAGGCACTGAAGGTCATGAAGATAACTTGTTCCTTTATTTGTCTTAAAACTAACTACTTTTTGTACTTTTTTTGAATAAACACCGGGGTCTCCCTCTCTACCATGAGTACTAGGTGTTGCTCCCTTACTGACGTTATGCAAACACACTTGTATACATGCATGTGCACGTACACACACACACAAACACACACACATGCACCTGCATACCCATCTCAAGGTAAAAGGATTTTCTTAATCTTTGACAAGTTAGAGATGTTCATTTAAAAATAATTACTTGCATTATACTGTGGGGATATTCTCACTTTCTAAGGAAAACTAAGATAGATGTTTTCCCCTATTTGGGTCTGACTGACATTTATATTTTTCTTTCTCATATTACTAGCTATAAAATATTCATATTGTATCATACAAAATACTCAATTTGTATCAGACTATAATGTGGCAGAAAATAATCCTAACATTTGATCATGGGTCAAGTCCAGACAAAAAAATCTGTTCTTTGCTAATTGAAGTATTCGTAGATCCGCTTCCTTTCTTTGTTCATCTATGCTTCCTTCTTTAGACAGGTAAAAATTTTAAATTAATAAAGCTTTATAAAAATTGTAAAAGTAAATTATGAATATATAGCTAACTAGGGCATGGTAGGAGAGTGATACCATTTTATACAGGGAAGATTTATCCTAGCAAAATGCATAAAAACTGATGATTCCACTCTAAAAGCACAATTTCCAGTGACAAACCTTCTGTGGAATCTCAGGATACTGAGATCATGGTCATGCTATAGAAAGCTGCCAAGCTAATTCTTTACTCTCCTCATTTCCATCTATTCCATTTCCAGACTGCATTTTCCTGATCTCTTGGAGCTATGACTTGCAGTGTAGTGAGTGATCATAATGAACAATCACATCCACGAAAGGTATAAGCTCCCTTTCACCATCCATTGTCAGGAGGAAGGAAATGTCCATTGTAGAGCTAAATGGATCCAGTGCAGAGACCTGTAGATAGAATCTCTGCTAATTCATCTCACTCAGTTCTCTGTATGCCATGTAAAAAAAAGAGTGACTACTTACAACCTATGTTTTCTTGGAAGCACTGAGATGAAGCTTAGATCCCATACTTTTCCATTTATTGCTATTTCCAAGTAACACTTTTTAAATATCATAGACCAAGAACAAACTTACAATTGTATGTTTGTATATATAGTTATATAATAATCATAGTCAATATAGCAGATAGATGCAAACATTCCCTATGTGTCTTGACAATAAATTCCTCATAAGTTCTCATACTTTTTTTTAAGTTCTCATACTTTTATACCAGTTTTCATTTTGCAAAAACCACACAAATGAAATGATGTAGGAATTAGTCTATTGTAGAGGGCTTACTTTACTCAGTATAATTTTTTTGGTTTTGAACATATGTTTCTTTTGTCAATAGACCACTCAGTTTGATTGTTGTAGCAATATTCCATTGTATGAGTCTATGAATAGATAGATAGATACATATATAGATACATAGATACATAGATGTAGATATATATGTAGAGAGATTTATCTAGTGATGAATATTGAATTTTGACAAGTTATAGGTTTTAATGAATTGAAATTCAGTAAATATTTGAGCATGAGTCTTCATGAGGACAAATGCTCTTATTGTTCTTGGATAAACGCATTAAGAGCGGACAGTCTAATCATAGTTAATGTAGATATTTATTCATTTAGAAATTGAAAGCCTGACTTTAAAATTGTCTTCCCCATTTTACAATCTTTTCAACAGTTCATAAGGATGTCAATTTCTCCATTGCTCTTGCACCATTTGTCGGATCATTTTAGCATAGTTTCATTTCTCCTAATGTGAATATAGTGGTATTTTATGGTGATTTGCCTTGCAATTCCCTGATAATTAAGATGTTGAATATTTTTTGTAACACATAAACAGATGCAGAAAAACACACATATTGTCTGCTCACATACACTGCTTCTTTTAAAAGATTTTTCTTTCTTACTGTTTTTGGAAAGATCTTTATATATTGATTATCAAATTTTAAATAGCAAATTTGGAATATTTTCATGTTATATTTGGATGATTTTCATTTTTCTGGAAAGTGAAAGCTCATAAATTTTATGAAGGTAAATTAATCAATTTGCTTTCTGCCATGGATTATGCCTTCAATTTTACATCTAAAACAGCTTTGTCTAAAATATGGCCCCAGGAATGTCTTAAGACTTTCATTTCTCACTATGGATATGATGTTTTCCATTCCTCTGTGTAAATTTCCAGTAGGGGGATAGCTGGTTTGAATCAGATTTCAAATCCTAGATTTTTAAGGAGTTTCCACACTGATTTCCATAATGGTTGCACCAGCCTACATTCACACCACCAGTGGAGAAGCGTTCCCTTTTCCCCACAGCCACTCCAACATTTGTTGTTGGTTGATTTCTTTATCATAGCCATTCTTTCTGGGGTGACATGGTATCTCTGTGTTCTTTAATTTGCATTTCATGGATGGCTAGCAATGTGAAGCATTTTTCATATCTTTATTTGCTTCTACAATTTCGTCCTCTGAGTAATGTGTGGTCATCTCGGATGCCCATTTCTGGACTGGGTCTTTAAATTTTGGTGCCCTAATGTTTTTCAGTTCTTTATAAATTATAGAGAGTAGACCTTTGTCAGAGTGTTTATTAGTTAACATTTTTTCCGAATTTGTGGGTTGGCTTTTCACTTTATTGGTAATTTATTTTGATGTGCAAAAACTTCTCAATAAGAAGAGTCCCAGTTGTTCATTCTTTCAACTGTTTCCCGTGCAATTTGATTTCTGTCCATGAACTCTTTGCCTACCCCTATGTCTTCAAGAGTTCCTCCCACTTTCTCTTTCAAGAAATTTAGTGTTTCTGTTTTAATGTTTAGATCTTGAATACATTTTGCCTTTAGCTTAGTGCAAGGTCCATTTTGTATCTTTGTACACAAAATAGTTAGGATAGATATACAACTACCTTCTCTTAA